CGCAGCGCCCGCCGCCTCCTGGCGCAGCTCGGGTGCCGCGCGTTTCCACTTTCCTCCGCTGGGGGGAGGGGGAAGCCCTGCTGTTCTGGGGGACCTGCGGGCGACCCCCAGGGTTTGTGTTTGAATTTTGGAGCCTTTATTAGCTGGGCAGCGGCTACGGTTGCCCCGTCTCACCCGTGTGAGAGCCGAACTGCAGCCCCGACCCTCAGTTCTTCCCTCACTTTATGATCAGTAACCACAAAGGCACTGCGCTAAAGGGGCTTCTAATAATTTGATAATTTGTCAGGCTGTCAGCTTTTGGTACCGGAAACAAGGGGGGACCTTTAGCAACACAAAAGGGATGATTTAAACACAATGTGTTACAATGAGTAATGGGGTTATGCTGGTTTGTTCTTCCAGTGGGANGGGCCTTGTCCTGTACAGTAGGGATCTTGCTCTACCTTTACTGTTAGTTCCTTAGGTGTTCTTCTGGCCATGGCGGCCAGAACAGTCCCCACTGGGTTTTTGGGGGGATCAAATCCTTGATTCCTCTTCTTCTGAGCCTACAATGCGCTGGTACTGAGTATGGAGAACCATGAGTTTTCCTGCCTGAATCCTTTCCTGCACAAAATTGAGTAGGCATTTAGCGACGCATGGCCCAAAAATCAAGAATAATATAAGGAGTACTAATGGACCAGCGACTGCCGAAAGGAGGGTAGTTAACCATGGGGACCAGTTGAACAAGTTCTCAAATCAGTTTTCTCTGTCCCTACGCCTTTCCTCCCGATCCAGGAGTCGCTTTCTTAGCTGGCTTAAACTCTCCTTTATGACACCAGAGTGACTGGTGTAGAAACAGCAGGTCTCACCCAGCGCTAGACAGAGCCCTCCCTGTTTGAGGAATAGGAGGTCAGTCCCTTTCTATTCTGTAGCACAACTTCTGCTAGCGAGCCTACAGACTCCTCAAGCTGAGTTACTGACCTTTCTAGGGTGGCGAGGTCTTGGTCAATCTGACGTCCTAGCTCACGGTAGTTTTGGTGTCCAGTTACTAGTGCAGCTGTACCCACCGCTGTCGATCCAGCTAGGCCGAGCCCCATGAGCACCGGCACAAGGATAGGGGCTCTCTTAACCCTCCTCGGCTCTAACCTAAGGTGCTCCCGCCATCCCTCTCCAGAGTAATAATACACGTGAGGTAAAATATGGGTTAGGGTGCATATGCCAGGATGGTATATAGACTAGGGCAGGAGGGAAAGCGCAGGAGGTCAAACCGTTACTACATGCCCACCAAGTACCTTCTGGGGCAACTAGGTAAACAAGGGTCCCGTCACCATCAGTATAGTTAACAGGGAAGGTACAGGACTGGGCACAGGGTGAAAAATGAAGGGGGAAATTCTCCGGATATATACAAGCCCCTGCTCCTTGGAGGTCCTCTAAGGTAAGTTGAGGCTTATATCCCCAGGTACACAACCCTGGGGGTAGAGTGCTTGTTACAGAGTAGTTATGAATTTGTGAGCTCTCATGTCCTATGGAGATATTAACCCCAGTGCCAATATAGTGGGGAGGTTCGGGTTTAGGCATAACCAACAATCCTGGGTTATATTTGGGGAAGTCTTATTCAAAAACATAAACATAGCCTTTAGAGTCCTCCTGAGTCCACGGTGTGGGAGCTCCAGGGGCGGCGGTGAGATGTCCTCTGGAGTCCTCGGTGCCGCATCCCCTCCTGTGTTGGGGGCTGCTGTGCGATTCCTCAGTCCTGGTGTAGAGACGTTCCCTGGAGATGGTGAGATCATGAGTCTCCTTGGTTCCTCTGGTTGGAAGACTGGTCATAGGGGACCCATGGGGTTAGGGGCCCTCGTTACCCTCAGCTGCTGAATGGTGAATGGGACCTCTGGATCTCGTCCAGACACATAGGGGCATAGCCCCCAAGTCTTACCTCCTTCCCAGTAGCTTGCTTGCCACTTCAGGGGGATCAGAGTAATTGGATTACAGTCCCCCTGAGTACAGTTAACCTTTGGGGCTCCTCCCCGTATTACCCTGACTAGATGGAGGGTTGGGTCTATGGTTTTCCATGGGGCTAGGGTCTCACAGCCCCAGGCAGCACAATAAAAATCTTCCTCTCCGCCACATCCGGGGGCCTTCCCTAGGACATATGTAATGCTGAGTGTGCCATAGCTGTGCCTTGAGCCCCGGAGTCCCACACCCATAAGTTCAAGCCCCAGTCCACCGGGTATCACCCCCAGAGGTGTATCCTGTTAGCCCGGCTCTTGTTTGGTCGTTTCCCCAATTTTCTCCAAACAGCTTACAAAGGTCTGAGGTCAGTGTCGGAGGCCCGGCAGTAGTAACCTTAGCAACTGAGGCCCCATCAAGGGTGCGGGTTACCTCCCATTCATAGACTGGGGCATAATGGGGACTTTGGGGGCTCCCAGTAACTTGGGTGTATATAAGGGCTACTAGACATTTTAGGAGGAGGGGGGTCCTGAGCTGGGGTCCCAAATTAATCTGACTTTTAGGGGGTCCCGAGTAAGTTTTACGGTCCATCTTCCCTCGGGCTCGCTAGCCCTTTTAATATGAGTCTGGTGGATCCAGTGCTTCTCTCCGTCTACCTTGACAGCAGTCGGTAACCTGGAAGGGACTCTCCCACCTGGGCTCTAACGACCTGGGTTCGTGCCTCTTTACCCAGCCCAGGTCTCCAGGGGAGCAGGCGGGTACGGGGCTTGTGTCTGAAGGGTGGCCCTCTTGGTGTATGTCTCGAATGATGCGCCTCGCGGCGGCAGAGGTAGTCTGGGTGCCTGTAGGGATCTAAGGAGATGTTGGTTAGAAAACTTTGCCATTTTCTCTTCCCTCAACCGGGGAAGGAGTGGCGGCGGCCGGCCAAACATAATCTCAAAGGAAGTTAGCTCCTTAACATATGGGGTACACTGAGCCCTGAGGAGGGTGAAGGGGAGGAGACTTACCCAGTTTTCGCCAGTCTCTAACTTTAGCTTAGCCAGTATTTCCTTTAAAGTCCGATTCATCCTTTCTACCTGCCCTGAGCTTTGTGGTCTGTAAACACAATGTAATTTCCACTTAATCCCAAGAGCCTTTGCTAATAGTCAGGTAATCTTGGCGATGAATGCCGGGCCA